GGGAAGTAACCCTTCCCCATTTGAACTCTCTGTAGCTGTTATTGGGGGGGGGGGGTCATTCCCCAAAGTTTCGCGTCATTTAGCTAGAAAGCTGAGCTCTCTGCCTGGAGTAATTATGTTACTATTCTGATCCCTGCCTAACTGACTTTGAGTGTAATTGTGCATTTAGCTGCAATTATGCCTAATTTACATCCTGACTGCTTCTCTTCAGCTGCTGGGACGGGATTTTTGTGTTGTTCTTCTCCCCACCCCCACCCCCGTCCCCTGTGAGAAGAGAAGAGAGTTCCCAAAGAGCAAGCATTTTATAAGCAAATAATGAGATGGCAAGCCGTGTTAGTCTGTCTGTAGCAGTAGAAAAGAGCAAGAGTCCAGTAGCACCTTAAAGACTCATAAAATGTTGCAGGGTAGGAGCTTTTGCAAGTCACACCGCTCACTTCTTCAGATACAACTAGAATGTGAGTCCATCTGTCATTATATCTTGGAGAGTGAAGTGATAACAGATTACCGGTAGATAGAGAGACTGCTGAATTGCAACTAATAATGAAGCTCAAGATGATGCATCCTCTTGGACTGAATCGAAACCTAGGTTTCCTGTCTCATTACTGAGGCTGATTTTCCGCGTGTTAATGGCTCTTTGAGTGAAGATGTACTCCCTTTTTATCTGTTCTAAGCCTACTACAGGGGCCGTGGTCAATGTTCCCTCTAAGCTGTGGAGTCTCGTGAGCAGAAATTCTCCTTTGTGAGCTGCTGGCATTCAAGTTGTGAGCAAGCGATTTGGCTGCTGCATACATTAGTTTGCTGTGGAGCCCTCCTTCCTGAGCTGAGATAAAAATGTGTGAGACGGAGGCTAAAAAACTGTGAGCTGGCTCACCCTAACTCAGCTTAGAGGGAACACTGGCCGTGGTGGCTCAAGTGGTTAAGATGCTGAGCTGCAGACCGGAAGGTCGGTAGTTTTGCAGTTCGAGACGCGAGTGCCGCAGGATGGAGTGAGCGCCCATCTCTGACCTCAGCTCCTGCCAACCTAGCAGTCTGAAAGCAAGGAATTGCAAGTCGATAAATAGGTACCGCTTCGGTGGGAAGGGAACTGTGTTCCGTGTTCTTCGGCGTCTAGTCATGCTAGCCACATGACCACGGAAACGTCTTCGGACACCGCTGGCTCTTCGGTTTGGAAATGGAGATGAGCACCGCCCTCTAGAGTCAGATTCGCCTGGCTTTCGAGCAAGGGAAACCGTTACCTTTACCTTTAAGCCTACTGCTCATTAATTTAATTGAGTGCCCACGAGCTCTAGTACTGTGAGAAAGGGAGAAAAGTACCTTTTTCTTTTGTCACCCCTCGGTCCTCGTTTCTCCAAGCTAAAGAGCCCTAACCTCTCTAACCTTTCTTCATAGGGAAGGCGTTCCATCCCCTTACTCATTTCAGCTGCCCTTTTGTGCACGTTTCCCAATGCTAATGGATGTTAGGATGTAGGACGGAGCCCGGAGACCTTACCCTTCTCTCCCCCTCTCACCACAAGAGCAGGAAGATTTGCCTCTAATGGGAACGTGTTTGTAGCCGGAACAGAGAGATAAGAAGGAATAAAAGAAAAGACAAGAAGTCTCCAAATAGGAGAACCCACCTTGCAAAGGGTGCCAGGGGTCTGGGTTCAGAAAAGGAAGGGAAAGGTGTAGGAGGGGGACCTTTGTAAGAGGCTGCTGGGTGCTCAGAGGCCTGTAAAGCCAGCAACAACAGTGCTGGGGTTGAGCGGGGGTGTACTGTGACATAATGAAGCTAAAGGCAGAGATGAAAGCCCTTTTCAAAGGGGGTGGGTGGGTGG